TACAAAAAAGGGCTGGGGATGTGTCTCAGTGGATGAGAGCCCCTGGGTTCAATCCCCTTGTACAAAAAAAAACCCAAACCAAAAGATAGTGTATCTTGCTACACATACAAATTAATCACACTAACTTCAGCAATATTTAGCACAAAGAAGAGAAGAGAAGAGAATCCAACTAAACATCAGATACTATGTGGGAATGATTCAGGGGGCCCTTGGGTCCCATTCCTGTGCATCCATTCCTACAGCAAAAAAAGAGAGAATGAACACAAAAGCTGTGGGTACCATCCTGCTGAGGGTTCTCAAATTAGAGTGCTCTGTGGCAAGAGAAGGCTGTGCCCTAAAAAAAGCCCACACATAAGAGCAAAAAAGAAATCCATCCCAAAAGATGCATAAAACCAAACACAGGACAAGAACTATAAAAAAACAGAAGGTAACACAACACCTAAGTTCATAATTCTCCAGAAAATGACTCTAAAGATATTTGAGTGGATGAGATATCAGAATAACAATTAAGAAGAATGATTATTAAAATAGTCATAGAATTTCCAGAAAACACACACTCACACACACAAAAAAAAAAAAGGAATTAAGGAAGTCAGTGAAGGGTAGAAGGAGAAGTTCAATAAGGACTTAGAGATATTGAAAAAGAACCAAACAGAAATCTTAGAAATGAAAAAAAAATAAGTCAAATACAATCTTCAGTTGAAAGTCTTTCTAGTAGAGTAGACCATGCTGAAGACAGAATCTCAGAGCTTAAGGGAAAAGGGGCAAGCCTTGTACTTTCAGACAGTATTACAGAGAATAAGTAATGTGACCAGAATATATAAACTCTGGGACAACATCAAATTTAAGAATCCTTGGAATTGAAGAGGGTTATGAGAGGCAGGCTAATGGTGTGGATAATCTCCTCAGGGAAATAACAGAAAAATTTCCAAACCTTGAGAATGAGAAAGACACCCAATACAGGAGGCATGGAGAACCCCAAACAAACAACACCAAGAAGGAACCTCTACAGAACACATTACAATTAAAATGCTTAACATACAGAGCAAGGATAAAATGGTAAAAACCTCTGGGAAAAATCACATTTAAAGTCAAGTCAATCAGAATTACTCCGATTTCTTAGCTCAAACACTAAAATCCAGGAAGACTTTGAATAATGTGCTCCAAGCTCAGAAAGAAAATAACTGTCAGCCAAGATGGCTATATACAGCAAAGCTCTCCTTCTGAATCTAAGTGGGAATAAAAATGTTCCAAGGTAAGAAGAAACAAAAAGAATTCATGGTTACTCAGATGGTACTATAGAAGATGCTTAAACCAATAATTCATGCAGAAGAAATAAAAACCAACTCCAGAGTTCACAAATGGATAAGTCTCATTTGAAGAGTTGCCAAGCAAATGAGAAACAGGAAAAAGTAAACATTATAAATAAATCAAAATGGCAGGAGTTAACAGATATCTCTCTGTATAACATCAAATGTAAATGGTCTCACCTCACCAATTAAAAAACATAGGCTCGCAGAATGGATTAAAACACAAGACTCAACTACATGTTGTTGTAAGAAAATTACCATACAGACAAAGACAGCCACGGGCTGAAAGTGAAAGGATGGAAAAGGATATACCATGTCAATGGAGCCCCCACAAAAAAAGCATAAGTTTATATTCTCACACACAAAACCCAGACCTCAAGCCAAAATTAATCAGAAGAGATAAAGGTCACTTTATACTGGTAAAGAGATCAATTCAAAAAGAAAAAATAACTATAATAAATATTTAGAACCCATAAGATGGTGCCCCTAATTATACAAAATAGTCACTACACACATGACTCAAGCCCCAGTACAGTAACTGGTTGATTTCAACACACCTCTGTCACCAGTAGATATGTCATCTAAACCTAACTTTGTAAAGACTCATTGAACCATATATATATATATATATGAAATCAAATGGACTTAATAGACTTCTAGAGAATATTCCACCCAACAATAATAGAATACACTTTCTTCTCAGCTGCTTATGCATCTTTCCCACAAACAGACCATATATTAGGCCACAAAACAATCCACACCAAATAAAAAAAAATAATATAATTCCTTTTATCTATTTGATTATATTGGAATAAAATTAGGAATAAACACCAAAAAAAACATCTTTGGAATCTATAAAAACATGTGGAGATTAACTGATATACTTTTGAATGATTCATGAGTACTAGGAAAAAGTTAAAAATTCTTAGAGATAAAGAACAATAGTAATACAACATACCAGAACCTCAGCAACACTATAAGCTCAGTTCTAAGAGACAAATTTATAACAATAGTGCCTATATTAGAAAATCAGAAATATCCCACATAAACAATTAAAGGATGCATCTTAAGACCCTTGAAAAACAAGAACAAGCCAATTTCAAAACCAGTAGAAGGGAACAAATAATTAAGATCAGAGGTGAAATTGTTGAAATAGAGAATACAACAACAATAAAAAGGATCAATAACAAGAAGAGTTGGCTCTTTGAAAAGATATACAAAATTGATAATACCCTAGCCAAACAATCAAAACAAAAAAAGAAAAGATTCAAATTAGTCAAACTATAAATGAAAAAGGAGAAATCATTACACATAACACAGAAATCCAGAGGCTTATTAGGAACAGTTTTGAAAACTTACACTTCAATACACTGAAAAACCTAGGAAAAAAATGATAGGTTTTGACTGGGGGGAGGCGGGCAGCGGCAGGGAGAGGGGTGGATAGTGCTGGAGATTGAATCCAGGGCCTTGTGCATAGGAAACAGGCACTCTACAGCTGAACTATGTCCCCAGCCCAAATCGGGTACATTTCTAGACACATATGACTTGCCAAAATAACATCAAGAAGACATAGAATATGTACATAGACCAATAACTAGCAATGACATAGAAGCATTAGTAAAAAGTCATCCCTTTAAGGTTTAGATAAGAAAGTGTTCCCAAAATCTTATGTGTAAGAAAATTCAAGGATTTTCAGAGGTGAAGTGATTATATAAGAGAAGCATGACTAAGAAGTGGATTAATTCAGAAGAAACTGCAGCCAGACAGAGTGTGGATGGAAGGTATAGGTTACTGGAGATGTATCCTTTGGTCTTATATTTTATCCCTGGTTCATGAAAAAATCTCTGTCTCTCTCCCCTGCCCCTTGATGATTGCTTTGTGCTGAGCTATTTTTTTCCTCCATTTCACCATGATGTTCTGCCTGACCTAGGGCCCAGAACAATGGAGTGGACCATTGATGGACTGAGATCTGTAAAATCATGAGTAACAAATAAACATTTCATCTTCTAAAATTGTTCTTGTCACAACTTTTGGTCACACTAACAAAAATGCTAACTAAAACTCCACCCAACAGAGAAAACCCCAGGAACACAATGCTTCTCAGCTGAATTCTACCAGAATGTTAAAGGAGAATGCATGCCAAGATCCTCAAATTATTCCAAAAATAGAGTGGGAATGAACACTTCAAATTCATTCTATGAGCTAGTATCACCATCAGACCAAAATCAGTCTCACTATAGATCAATATCTCTGATGAACTTAGATGCAAAAATTCTTTAAAAAATATTAGCAAATTATATTCACCAACATAATAAGATGATTGTACATCACAACAAAGGTGGATTTATTGAGATGATGCAAAGATAGATTAATATTCACAAATCAATACATGTAATATACCCCACAAGTAGAACTAAGGACAAAAATCACAGATTCATCTCAATAGATGCAAAGAAAGCCTTCAACAAAACTTGACACCCATTCATGATAAAGAAAATGAGGAAAGTAGGCAAAAAAGTAATTTACTTCAATATCATAAAGGCTCCATACAACAAATCCAAAGCCAACATCATAGTGAATGGGGGAAAACTGAAATCATTTCCATGAAAATCTAGAACAAGGAAAGGATGTCTACACTCATCACTCTGATTCAATATACTATTAGAAATTCTAGAAAGAGCAAATAGGCAAGAGAAGAAAATCAAAGGTATTAAAATAGGAAAAGAAGAAGTCAAATTATCAATGATAATTCGTTTCAAATGAAACAATCCTATACTTAGAAAATCCAAAAAGCTCCACCAGAAGACTGATAGAACCAATAAAAAAATCCAGCAAAGTAGCAGGTTACAAAATCAACATACAAAAACCAAAAGCTTTTCTATACACCAATAATGGAACTCCTGAGGAAAAAAATCATAAAAAACAATCCCACTCATTATAGCCTCAAAAAGTAAAATACCTAGGAGTAAATCAAACCAAGAAGGTAAAATTTGACCTCTAAAACGTAAACTATAGAACGATGAAGAAAGAAATTGAAGAAGACACAAGAACATGGAGAGACATCCCATGTTCACAAGTAGGCAGAATTAATATTGCTAAAATGGTCATAAAATCAAAAACAAGAAACAGATTAAATCCAATCCCCATCAAAATACCAATGACAGTTTTTCACAGAACTAGAGGCAGTTGAAAGAATAA